TATGATTTTCTGAGAAGAGTTACATTTTTGACCTGGCTTCACTACAAGAGTTATATTTTTTAATTCTGACTTCACCCACTACCCACAGCTCACATCTGCCTCTTTTATAATGGTGCCTTCAGCATGCTGCAGAAGTCATTATAAGGCCCACAGCCTGAAGGGGAAAAAATTATGGTATGGGCTGACAGACTAGTAAAGCAGTGCTCTTTTTCTATGTGAAAGTTTGCTGGACAAACAGCTGTTTGTGGGAAAGGGAATTCAATCAGTTGAATTGAGATGCCCAGTCCTGTAGATTATTGTGGGGCCACAATTGGTTTCAGTGAAGAAATTTCAGCAAGGAAGCTATAAACAACTAGTACCTTGAGGATGAGTAACTGAACCATGTATCAGTTCTCATTGAAGTTAACAATACTTGGTTCAAAATTCTGGGTGTAATTCCTTGGGCACTTGATGTGCTGGGGATTTTACCTTCCAGCACACCAAGTTTAACATTCCTACTTTCTGTCATGCAATAACATGTTGTAGTACAGATCAGCACTGTGATTGTAAAACTCAAGCAAAGAGAGATTTAAATATCTAAAGTGCTTAAAGACACTTTATTGAGAGGTAAGCAGCCTTTCCTAACTTGCTGCCTTCCAGATGTAGGGCAATTAAAATTATGAGAACTCCTACCTAGCATAGTCGTTGGCCCATTGCTTGTTGGAAATTCTGGGACAAATTCTGGAAGATCCCAAGTTGGGTAATGCTGATCTCAGTAAATTATCTTAAAAACATTATTTTTAGTCATAGGATGGATCATTGTTCCAGGTCAGATTGAAACAATGGTCATCTAGACATCTAGAGCAGGTAAGGAAGTTTTATAAATCTTTGAATTGGTGATAGCTTTCTTGTGAACATCACTTCCTGAACAGCTACTCACTTCATAGGTTGCAAGATGATGGGGACAAGCAAGCATCACTATTAGTTAGCAGCAATATATAGTTATTTTAATTCAAGTAGTTGTTACTGGATCAAAGGAGAGTATGTTATGAAATTTTGAAAAATATAATTTAAACTGTATTATTTTCTATTTTGGCAAATGATTTGTAGGTCCCATATGGTAAATATGTGTATGGGAGGGAGGGAGGAGCTATCCATTGTCTTTGGTGGCTCTTCAAAGCCTAGAGTTTAAACTAAACCTTTTATCATTGTTACTAAATAAAATATGGCATCAAACCTGCCATAGAAACGTAGACAGGTTGTGCTAACTCGGGGACTTCTGTTATGCAGAACATGACATGAGAAAAACATTGGAAAGAAGAAAAAGAAAATAGTAAACTTGTTTCATGTTCTCTATTTTACGTTCAGTCTGGTAAGAATTAAATAGGCCTAGAGCAACTTGAAGGTTATTTTGAAGTGTTAATGTACAGATTCACTTTGGATTTGTTCTAGCATATATTTTTATTCTTTCGTAAGTTTCAGGTTCTTTTCTTCAGTATAAGGCTCTGGTCAAAGCACTCTAGCATACCCCAATCCCTGCACTCTGCAGCCCAACAGGGGAGTGGCAAGGAGGGATGTGTGCATTTCTCCAGCTTTTTCTGGGATTTTTGTTTTCTTCCCCAGTCTCCAAGACAGGAAACTGAACAATCATTGTCCCAGCCTCAGAAAGGGGAAATGGATGTTCCCAGAACATGAGTTACAACACAATGACCCCTTTAAATATTATACTGGTAATTTTGTGGTGATTTGTGGTGCAGAGTATTTGTATATAGTTACGGAGATGAAATGGACTTTGAAGAAGTAGGATAGAAAGAGTATTGTTATTTTTGAACTCTGGTGTTGGAGAAAACTCCTGAGAATACCATGGATAGCCAAGAAAACAAACAGATCATCAAGCAAATTAACCCAGGTACAAACGATCAGGCTCAAATTATCATACTTCAAAACATATTAGCAGCAGCAAGGTGGATGGACTCACTTACAATGGCAATGAGTGCACTGTTGGAAGACCTGAAGGAACATGTTGGGGACAGGTCGTTCTAGAGAAAATCTATCTATATGGTCACTAAGAATCGACACTGACACGATGGCACATAATCAGTCGTGGGGAGGAAGAAGTTACATAGTTCAGAATAAGGAGGTTTATACAAAATAGATCTGAGCATCAGGTGTTGTTTAAAATGAAATATGTAAATTGAATTGGGCTATCTTAACAGAAGACTGTAGAACTTTGTCTTAAAATGTGGCTCTAGGGCCACATGCATCATCAATATTTTTTGGGGGGGTAGCCCCTAGAACTGCCATTGACTGTAATTACTTGCTAAAAGTTAAAAGTACAGTTACAGTGGTACCTCGGTTCACGAACTTAATTCGTTCCGCGACTCTGGTCGTGACCTGAATTGGTCGCGACCCAAATCAAATTTTCCCATAAGGTTCAATGTAATTACGGTTAATCGTTTCTGAACCATATTTTTTTTTTTAAAACCACAAAAATATGACACACAGTATGAAGAGAGAGAACGCTAACCTTGCTTGAGGCGACTTCTGGCGTGG